TATTCACACAACAGGCCTGGTCCATTGTCATTGATTAGAATGTTATTCACAGAATAAGTCTGGTACATTGTCATTGTTTATAATATTATTCACACAATAAGCCTGGTCTATTGTCATTGTTTATAATATTATTCACACAACAAGCCTGGTGTTGTGTGAATAATATTATAAACAATGACAATGGAAGCCTGGTCCATTGTCATTGTTTATAATATTATTCACACAAGCTTGATCCATTGTCATTGTTTATAATATTATTCATACAACAAGCCTGATCCATTGTCATTGTTTGTAATATTATTCACACAACAAGCCTGGTCCATTGTCATTGTTTATAATATTATTCACACAACAAGCCTGGTCCATTGTCATTGTTTATAATATTATTCACATAACAAGTCTGGTCCATTGTCATTGTTTATAATATTATTCACACAACAGGCCTGATCCATTGTCATTGTTTATAATATTATTCACACAACAAGTCTGGTCCATTGTCATTGTTTATAATATTATTCACACAACAAGCCTGGTCCATTGTCATTGTTTATAATATTATTTACACAACAAGCCTGGTCCATTGTCATTGTTTATAATATTATTCACACAATAAGGCTGGTCCATTGTCATTGTTTATAATATTATTCACACAACAAGGCTGGACCATTGTCATTGTTTATAATATTATTCACACAATAAGTCTGGACCATTGTCATTGTTTATAATATTATTCACATAACAAGCCTGGTCCATCGCATTGTTTATAATATTATTCACACAACAAGCCTGATCCATTGTCATTGTTTAATAATATTATTCACACAACAAGTCTGGTCCATTGTCATTGTTTATAATATTATTCACACAACAAGCCTGGTCCAGTGTCATTGTTTATAATATTATTTAAACAACAAGCCTGGTCAAATACCGTTCATACTACCACGATATTGGTTTGATTATACTCTCTAAACCAGTCGAATACAATGACAAAGTACAGCCTGTCTGTATTCCTGAGTTGAACCAGGCTCACGCGAACTTAAACAATAAGAAGGTCGTTGTTACTGGTTGGGGTGTTACTAGAAGAGGTAAGTGCCAGTGTTATATTGATGACTTTCTGTGTTATGTTGACGTATCTTCTGTTACTAGAAGAGGTTTGTGCTAGTGTTATGTTGATGTATCTTCTGTTATTATAAAAGTTAAGTGCCAGTGTTATGTTGATGTATCTTCTGTTACTATAAAAGGTAAGTGCCAGTGTTATATTGATGACTTTCTGTGTTATGTTGACGTATCTTCTGTTACTAGAAGAGGTCAGTGACAGTGTTATGTTGATGTATCTTCTGTTATTATAAAAGGTAAGTGCCAGTGTTATGTTGATGTATCTTCTGTTACTAGAAGAGGTTAGTGCCAGTGTTATGTTGATGTATCTTCTGTTACTAGAAGAGGTTAGTGCCAGTGTTATGTTGATGTATCTTCTGTTATTATAAAAGGTAAGTGCCAGTGTTATGTTGATGTATCTTCTGTTACTAGAAGAGGTTAGTGCCAGTGTTATGTTGATGTATCTTCTGTTATTATAAAAGGTACGTGTTATGTGGATGTATCTTCTGTTACTAGAAGAGGTAGGTGACAGTGTTATATTGATGTTTGCTCTTTTGTCATTATTTTCTAAATTATGGTACAATAAGTAGATCGATGTCTTCGTTGTTAAGCACAAAGCTACACGAAACCTGATTTTTAGCGTCATAATTTTGCTGTCATTTGTAAGCTGAAGACTTTCTATAAAATTCAACACTTTAGATCTAAATATCATCAAACATCCTTTGCAGTGCTATGTAAGTGGGAAATAAAGAATGGACCATTATCATTGTAAGTATATTTAACGAAATATAACCCAAACATACATTATTAAGAATACCATAAAAGAATACTTTATTCATTGACTTACGATGACTGTAAGTTCAAGACAGACAGGTAAATAAATGACGATTTTTTTTTCTTGTAATTATCAAAAGAAACATTGGTTAGTTGATTGAGGCATAAAAAGTTGCTTATCTAAGGTCGTCAAAGCAAGATACGCAGTCCCTTAGCAACAGTTGCTATGGTAACACAATAGCTCCAATTGTCGGTAAATTGTTAAAGACAGTCTTTGCAGTGTTGGTACCATTCAAATTTTGAAGGGGTTTAGAGGAATATTTTAAGAAGTATGACAGATTTAAGTATCTTGCAACCCTTATTACTTGATATAAATGAAAATCCAACATTCAGTAAACTTACTTCTGATATGGTGAAAATCCAGTTGTCTCGTTAAAATTCGTTGATCATCTTATTATATTATGCGCATGTAGTGAGTGTACCACGTGACCATTCTGACAAAATTATACTTCTCAGTCTATTTCGTCCCAGAAAAAAAAACAAAACCGCTGTACAATATTTTGCACAGATGCTTTTAGAAGTTCATGAATAATAACTGAGACATTTAAGCCCCCCCCCCCACAAAATTTAACAATGAAATCCAAGAGGAAATGAGGTAACCCCCCCACAAAATTTAACAATGAAATCCAAGAGGAAATGAGGTAAAGTTTCTGAAACATTTATACATTTCATCAAATACAATGCAATAAAGCAGTGATTGTCAACCAGGGGTAAATTTACCCCTTGGGGGTAAAAAATTGATGTACTTGATAATTGAATAATAATTCAATTAAACTTCATTTTGTAAAATGTGTGAATGTGTGAGAGAGAATGCTAAGAATGTGTGTGTGTGCTATTTTTGTTCAAAACCTGAATAATATTTTTTTTTCTGACCTTCTTGTTTTTCTGTCCCTTTATGATGGCTATGAATTTTTTGTATGGAAGTAAGGGGGGTAAATGGAGAAATACATCAAGCCGAGGGGGTTAATGATGGAGGAAAAGTTGAGAATCCCTGCAATAGAGAATGAAGTGAGTATAATTATGAAGTGTGTTTTTATTACACGTTGTATAAGGTAACTACAAAGTAGTGTTAACTATTGGGTAAATTCTAATATCTCGTATAGTGTCTGATGTTTTTTTCATAACACACTTCTCACATCTGTTGTCTGTATTTATAGATATGACATCTAACAAATATCGACCACACTGTAAGAAATGTTTGGTAAAGAACGGAAATATATAGTTCATGTATATTTTTGTTAGTGTATCGATCCTCGTCTAACAGATTCAAACAAAAACTAACAGGAATTTATACAAATATTATGTGTCGAGTACTGAGCGGAGAAGGTTTCTTAAGGTATATTTATTGTAAGTTAAATAGATAAAATACGATTCATTATATCTGTCTTTTTATAAGCTGGCCAGAAAAGTAACCTGCTATTGTAAGTTGAATAAAGTATGGTCAATTGTTTTGTTTATTAGCTAATGAAAAACGTGACGTTCTACGTGAACTGGCGGTTACAAACGGACGGCGCAACAAGTCTTATCGAACACTGCCATACTCCAAGCTCAACCGAGGAATCACTGATGACATGATTTGTGCTGGGTATCAGGAAGGAGGGAGAGATGCTTGTGAGGTTCGTTGTCGTAGTTGTCGATGTGACTAAATACTCCCGCTTGGGCCAGTGTACGATGATTGGAAAAGTCCTCAATTTACTCTTGTACCGTTTCAGTTCACGTTTTTATATTATATTTAATATCTTTATTTGTCCCATGGTTGATGGAGTTAGAACGCTAAAATCCGACAGTGATAACAATGCTTAAATACAACATTTTTTGCTTATTCTTGTTTAATTTTTGTGTGGCTCAAATGATGATATTATTATTATTATAAATTTATAACCCACAAAGTAACGAATTAACAAACAATTTTGTTCAGAAAAATATGATTCTAGGTAGTTGTTTTTTTTTTAAACACAGAGCTACCCAATTCCATCTGTACTTTGCCCACCACGGGTATCGAAACCTCATTTTAAGCCTGCTGATTTACTGCTGAGCCACTGGTGGAATAATTGTAGGAATATATTAATAGTATAATAATATAGTAATAATAATTTTGTTATTTTAATAGAGTTTAAAGAAAAAAAAAAGGACAATATTGCAATCTTAAAAACGAAAAGTTTGAATCCCGAAAGGATTGAAAACCAATATACGTCATAAAAACCACATTAAACTATGAATATTTTCATCTTATTACAATAGGAGTACAAATTTCAGCTTTACATAAACTCGATTAGATGTCTGCTTTTCTCCGCCAGGAAAAAAATTAGAAAATTCATTTAACTTTATTGATGACTCCAAAAAATGATCATGTGAAAATTTAACGAAATATTTAAGAACACTGTATGGAAAAAAATGTTTTAGCAAAT